AAATAATGTTTCATATGTACCTATATACACACACAATGGAAGAAGATTCTTTCCTGCTACATTACCTTACTATTTCCACGCTCTTAGATTGACCAGCCCTGATGAAGGCCTGGACTTCGGGCCAAAAAGTAGGCAAAAATAAATATAATTATTTATTTTTACTAATTTTTATATTGACTGATCACCCCCACCATCCTTCTCTTCAATTACTCGTTACAGTCAACCACCAATCTACAATTATAATAATGATTACATGATTTTATGAAAAAAATAATTATCGATTTCAAACCCTGTCTAAATGTAAGCATTTGTCAAGAAAAAATATACGAATTTGTCTCTAAATCATTATTACAAAATAATAAAATCACAAAATAATTACAGTTATTATTAATAATAAGCCCATAAGTTAAATCGTGAGTTCACTACTGAATAGTGTTGCCCAACTGTTGCAAGACCAAGATGAGGACTGGTAAAAAAAATAGGGCAAAATAGTTACTAATACTCGACAATTTTAGTTACTATATGTAAATAATTGGTATAACCAATATACTTTTGCATTTAACTTCTCTAATTTTTCATTCGGGCTTAGTTAGGTTTCTCCTATCTAAAAAAATTACAGTAATATCTCTATGGTAATAAGCTAATAAGTAACTGCAAGACTGTTGCGAGACTCTTGCGCAAGACCGAGACCATGACCAAGACTGAGTTTGCAAGACCAATACTCGTCTCAGTCTCACATTTGGGCAACACTACTACTGAATAGTACATTATACTCCTAATAGTATTATACTATACTACTGATAGTACATTATACTACTAATAGTATTATACTATACTACTGATAGTACATTATACTACTAATAGTATTATACTATACTACTGATAGTACATTATACTACTAATAGTATTATACTATACTATTGATAGTACATTATACTACTAATAGTATTATAGTGGAGAGAAGAATAGTTGGGGTGATCAGTCAAATAAGAAGGCAAAAATAAATGATACTATTTATTTTGCCATTAGCCGACGTTTCGACCTGAAGTTCAGGCCATCATCAGGGCTAAGAAAAGAACCAGATAACAAGGTATGAGAAACATAAGTAGTGTAGGTAAAAAAAATTAAAGTTAAATTCAGTTGTTAGAATAATGACAATAGTAAGAACAAAGAGATAAATGGGAATAAACAGTAAAATTAAGATATTTATCATTAATTAAAATTAACAAAATTAAGATATCATTTATCTCTTCGTTCTTACTATTGTCATTATTCTAACAACTGAATTTTACTTTAAATTTTTTTTACCTTATATTTCTCATACCTTGTTATCTGGTTCTTTTCTTAGCCCTGATGATGGCCTGAACTTCAGGTCGAAACGTCGGCAAATGTCAAAATAAATAGTATCATTTATTTTTGCCTTCTTATTTGACTGATCACCCCAACTATTCTTCTCTCCATTATTTACGACAGTCAACTATTTAACCACTATTAATAGTATTATACTATATTACTGATTGTTATAATGTGAATGATCTGTTGTAGCCCTAATACTTGGTGTCTTTCTATGAGACAGGTTGTATTCTTATTCAATAAAACTGTTTAAAAAAAAAATACAAAAAAAAAAGTCATGAACTCGATAACGTTATTAATAAATTATCATATTTTATTTTTTAATATACTTCAAAAGAAATCATAATTTATACTGTGTGAATGGAAACATTTTTAATGGATCAATTAATATGAAAGATGACTCGAAGATTTCTCCAAGTAAACAGTAAATATTACTCGTAGATTTCTAATTGGCGGATTGGGACCAGCCGGACGAGCCCCCGGGCAACTGGTCCCATAAAATAATTGACAGGAGGCTGTGTGGGAAAGTGCCACTGTGGGAAAGGACCCAAATCCACCTCATCTCGCCTTTTTTATAACGTCTTCGGGACCGCTAGCTCCACCTGTACCCTGTCTGTAGCGGCTACTGGACGTAACCGAGGCCGGGGGTACGCCCCCGTGTTTACCTGTCCCTTTCTTCCAGGCCCTAAATCAGGTCTTATTAAGGGCTCTTGTCTGAGGCTTCAATGGAAATAAAAAAAAACCACTCTCGGTCTTCAAGATATTTAGTTAGTTTTTTAAATGTTTCTCAATTGATGAAATATTCTGTACATCTATCTACTATATACACGGGTGGATCTACCGGGAAGGGGGGCTTTCGGGCTGTTATATTTTACCATTAAAATGGTAAAATATAACTATGTTTTATAAAAAAAATTATCTCCGAAAGTATTATTGTTCGTGCAATTACATTTGATAGGACTTAAAGAATCAGTTAAACACCATTTCATATAGGTAGTTAGTTTCTTTCTTCCGAAGTAATTACCCTAATATATACATACGAAAAAAATATATTTCGGGCTGAAGCCCCCCTCAAAAAATTAAATCGGTTCCGTTAGTGATAAGAGTAAAGCGAATCAAGTCCTAACCAAGTATATTTGATTTTATATTTATTTATTATTATATGCATACAATTTATTAAATACATACAATTTAAAAAATATCTCTTAAAGTATAATTGTTCGTGTAATTCCATTTAAAAGGACTTAAGGAATCACTTAAACACCATTTCATATAGGTAGTTAGTTTCTTTCTTCCGAAGTAATTACCCTAATATATACATACGAAAAAAATATATTTCGGGCTGAAGCCCCCCTAAAAAAAATTAAATCGGTTCCGTTAGTGATAAGAGTAAAGCGAATCAAGTCCTAACCAAGTATATTTGATTTTATATTTATTTATTATTATATGCATACAATTTATTAAATACATACAATTTAAAAAATATCTCTTAAAGTATAATTGTTCGTGTAATTCCATTTAAAAGGACTTAAGGAATCACTTAAACACCATTTCATATAGATGGTTAGTTTCTTTCTGTTTTTCCAAAGTAATTATCGTTATTTTTATGAAAGAAAAAAGGTTTCGGGCTGAAGGCTTCCCCCCCAAAATTAAATCCTGGATCCGCTAGTGACTATATATTCGTTTAGCCATATAATTGATACTGATCCTTGCTTTCTTTTCCGAGATTTTAGTACTTCCTTTCTCGTTCGATTAATGTATTTTTCCATATTTTGGGTTCAATTTCGCGTTTTCCCTCATTTTGAGACCAAATACTAACAATCAGTTTCGGTTACCTAGAAGAACTTTTACCGCGTTCAGAGAGAATAATGCATTCAATATTGAAATTTCCATTTTGGTTTATTATTTTCAATAATCAACCATTGTGATCGACCAAAAAATTAAAAAACTTAACCTCCTCTCAAAATTTGAGGTATCACGTTTCAGGATGCGTAGAATTCGAAAAACGAATAAAAATTTTTTTGTCCGTCCGTCGTCCGCCGTCCGCGCATTTTCTCCGAAACTACTAGACCGATTTTTTTTTCAAATTTGGATATAAAATCAGAGGTCACCCGAGGATGATCCTCCTTCATCGGCATTATTATCCGCCTTTTACTTTCAAAATGGCTGCCGAAAAACCTGTGTTGCTATAGACTGTAGCGCCTAAACGAATGTAGCGATTTCAATGAAACTTCGCTAAAGTCATTTTCTCCACGCCCTTTAAATTTATCTATATAACATACTTAACAACGAAAAGAAGCTGGAAAAAAAGTTACGAGGGATGGTAAAATTTAATTCCGAATAACTCAAAAAGTATACTCTTTTTTGTGGGTGTTGTATGGTTTTTATAAGTTTACGAAATTTCTCAAAAACCAAAAAAAAAATCGTTAAAATCGGACAATTGGATTTTTTTTTTTACATGTTCTACTCTAAATGTTATATCCTTTGTTAGGTTTTTAAATTTTGAATGTGTTACTGAAGTATTGCTACTTTTTTTTAGCATATTACTAATTATTAAAAAAAAAGTTTAGTCCAATAATTGGAATCATCTTTTGTTTATTTTTCTTTGTAACTAGAAGATAATGTTACTTTATATGTACAATTGTTTGGAAATAATAAACCATCGTGGAATAATTTCCAGCGTTTTTTTTTTATGATATAGTCCAACTTCCGAACAAATAAAAGAAAATAAAAATTAATTCTTTTATTTGTGATATATGAGTTTTACTTAACAACCAATCAACTATTCATTATATGTAGTTCAGATTAGGTACATTTTATTTTAGTTTATAAAACAGGTATTAATATGAGTCGTTTCCGGGGAAGTGCATACAAAATTTAAATTATCTCTAAGAATAAAAGACCAACTATAACGAAATTAAGACAAATGCTGACCAAAAAAAAAAGCCAAATCTCAGTGAACAAAAAACTAACTAAAATCAAAGTCGTCAGTCCACCATGTTTGGATGCCATTTTGGGACAGTTCGTTCACTTTTATTGTGGGAACATTGACTTTTTTAAAATAAATTGTTACAAGGAACACAACGATATGCTATTTATGGGGATGTGGGGGGGGGGGAGGGGAGGTGCACGGTAGGGGGATCTGGTTAAACGAAGATCGAGGTGGATTTATTTTTTGAGTTCTTTGCAAAACTAATAGTAATAAATACATTTTTTAAAAACATATATCCTATTAAAAGAGTTTAATTCCTGGAGATAAAAAATTATAGATGCTTTTTTGAAGTTTATTGTCTCGATCACATTTACGGAGGTGCTTTCGGGATGAAGCCCCTCCCCAAAATGGTAAAATATAACCATGTCTTAAGAAAGAAATATTTAAAAATTACCTCTAAGAGCATTATTGTTCCTGTAATTACATTTAATAGAACTTCAAGAATCACTTAAACACTATTTTATCCATTACAGTTTTTTCATTATTAACCATTATCTGTCTTATAATATTATATCCCTGATTGTATTAAACAATTTTTAACCCCAGATGATGACCCACATGTTTGGGTTAAAACGTTGGCATTAATAAAGGCCTTAAAAATGACTGCGTCCTGACTATTTATCACTTAAGAATATATAAAAAATGAATTTCTTACCTGAAAGAGAAATATAGAGAAAAAGTTTTCGGTACTACGACTTTGGTTTGGAAGTAGTGGAGGTAATTCCTCCAAAAATTAGGATGAGAAAAGAAAGAAAACAACAAACGCCATTTCCATATACAACGCAAATCAAGCTGATTCGTTTTACTAGATATTGTCAATCAGATGGATTAGTATGCTGAGTCAGCAACTCAACACTGTTGATTGTAATTGTCTCAGCATATTTATCTATTCTATCATCATTTCAATAGTTATAAAAATTAAATAATTATGTTTTTCACTTGTTGTCCGTAAGAGTGTTTTGATAAAATAATCACTCTTCATTTATAGTGTTGTTTTTTTTTATTTCGGCGTTTTGGGGGTACAATCCATCACAGATCCTATATTTCTAAAACCAGTCAATTATATTTATTTAAAATTAATACATATTTTTAAATTTAATTTAAATAATTTCCTATGATCATTGACCAAACTTGTTAGGGGATTAGCCCAATACAGGGGCAAATTATGTAAGTAATTTCTGTTTTTAATGGTGTTAATTGAAATATAATTCAAATCAAATTTAAAAAGAATTTATTAATTTTAAAGAAATATAACTGGCTGGTTTGATATAATACCTATAATGTATTGTTTATGTAATTTTAGATGCTGAAGAGAGGGGAGGTAGGGAAGTACCCGTGAAACGTCCATAAAAAGAAAATATTAGATTGAGTGCAAACACGCGTTTGCCTAACTTGATAAATTGAACAGAATAGGAGTTATAATCTCGGTAGTCCCGGGTGGACTTTTTAACCCTGTAATTAAATAACCCGCTCTCTCTCCCCTGGACCAGGAAAACTTCGCATAGCCGAAAGGCGAGACAGAGGAGAAAAAGAACAAAAAAAAAAAATTAATAATTTTCCCATTTTATCGTAATTTTCCCATCTTTGCTTCAGTCTAACCCGTTGAACGCTTGCCAGTCTGCACAGAGCCTATTATCTTTTTAGGAATTCTTTCGTTACCTGTCCCAGCGACTTTACATGCTCGTTTTATTCGCATAAACTCAATCATCTTGATTATATTAACCAGGTACAGTTTGAGCAATTCAGAGTTGTGTAACCGCCTAAATCCTCCGGTTGACTCATCCTTCGGTCCGATTATTCAGTGCAATACTTTATTTTCAAAAACCTTAAGACGTTGCTCATCTCTTAATGTTACCGGCCTCGTTCCACATCCATAAAGAACCGTAGAAAGGATAGTTAATGGTTTTGTAAATTCTATTTTTTATGTTTCGGGACTAGAGGCGCGACATAAGCAGTTTTACCAAAGACAAATCACAAGTATTTCCTACTTTTGACTTAACCTTAATTTCCTCTTCATTTCGTTTTTTTCAGTTATCGTACATCCCAGATACCTAAAAGTCTCTACGCGATCAAACATATTCCCTTTTATATCGATATCACCGAAATTCTTGCTGTATTTGCAGCTATATATGGTCAAAACTATAAACTTATAAATATACAAAGGAAATTCTTCCATGTTCAATGGTTAGGATCCTTAATAAATTGTTATTATTTAGTAAAAGTGTACGTGTATTACCTTCTAAAGTGTAGTCCCTTATTATTTAGTACACAATTAATTAAATAACTCAATATTTAGCTAGAGATATTGGAAAAGCTTTTTAATCTACGGTATTTCTTCTAGACCTTAGGATGTTGAATTACCTATGTAGCATAGGGTATATTTATTTATAGTCACTAAAGTAAAATAAAACAGAACAAAATCATTAAGTAAAAATCAATAATGTTATTTTTAAATCATTTAATTCGAAAGCCTATAAGAGGAAAATACATTGATTGCAGATTTGTAATTAGGCAATGTTCCATAAACTGCTCGGTGATATTCAAAATGATAATGGTATCGGGAAAAGTCGACCGATAAGCTTGGAGATAGACGAGGCCTATTAATAAATCATGTCTAAAAAAAAAAAAAATAATATTTCGAAATCCGTCCAAGTTACGATAAGTACGATATAACAAACGGGATCTAAATTTTAATTTCTCATACCATGCTTCAAATTTAATGAATTTTTTTTAATCGTCACCAAAAATAATTTCTTATTACACATAATTAACTTGTCTAACGATCTATGTCATATTATTTTCGATACACATAAGTTTATCCAGATCTATACAATAAAAATATAGAATAGAATAGAATAGAATAGAAAAAAAAACTTTATTCTGGGACTAAGTCCCTTCAGAATAACAAAAATGTACAAAATAATAGAATATTACTGGCCTGAACGTTGAAACAATAAATAAAATTGATAAAATAAAATAAAAAGTAAAGAAAACCTTAGGTGCACAAGCTATATACAAACAGGTAAAACTATGTACAGAGCATTTAAAATTACGAACAAAACAATTAAAACTATGAACGAATCACTTGAACTATGAAGGGTTGAACAACATAAACATACACTTTGAGAAATGAAGAACGAAAAAGAGATACAATGAGTTCATTTCATAAAAAAAAAAAAAAAAAAAACTTTACTTGAATATATATATAAAAATAAACAGTTACTTATAATTGAATAAAAAAAAAATATATAAAAAAAAATGTATGTATTGAAATTCCTACGTCGATAGTAGGAAATGCATGTACTATCTCTTACCAAGTGTTATGATTATATGATTGCTACACAATACATATATAATATCAATAGTTAGCTGGTATCAGACTGTTTTTGGAACAGGAATTGGAATAGGAGGTTTTTGAATGTATACAGGGAAGGGGCATGTCGAATTTTGATCGGGAGGGAATTCCAAAAGTTGACAGAGCGGGCTATAAAGGAATTTTGGAATGAGGCAGATCTATGAGAAGGGATGTATAGGTCAGAGGGTCGGGATCTTGTAGTGAGTGAATGGATTGAGGACTTAAATTGGAGAAGGTTGTAGGCATAAGAAGGACGATGATCGGTAATGATTTGATAAAGGAAAGTGCCAAGGAAATATTGTCTTCTGAAGGAGGGGAAGAGCCACCCTAACTCAGTGTAGTGGTGGGAGACACGGGAGCGTCTCGGGGTTCCAATTACAAATCTTACGAAGCAATTCATAAGTCTTTTGAGTCTATCACGCAGTTCCACCGAGAGGCCATCGTACACCACACAGCTGTAGTCAAAGTGGGGAAAGATGAGAGAGGAAACTATGAGTCTACGGGTATTTTGGGGTAGAAGATGGCGGAAGTGATGGAATAGTTTGAGGGTAGAAATTGCACGGCGGGATATATGAGAGATATGGTGATTCCAGGAAAGGGTTTGATCAATGAGAAAGCCTAAATTTTTAACAAAGGGATAGAAGGTGATGGGGTGGTTGTTTAGATAGAGTGAGGGAAAGTTGGTGTGGAATCTAAGAAGGGGCTTGGAACCAATGAGAATGGCCTGAGTTTTGGCAGCATTTAGCCTTAATCCATTTAAGTTGGCCCAGGCACTAATTCGATCTAAATCTTCTTGAATTTTGGCAAATGCCACCAATAACTCAGCGGGAGAAAAGGATAAATAGATTTGAGAATCGTCGGCATAAAGGTGGTGGGAACAATGGATAATTGAATCATTTAGGTCATTAATATAAGAACTGAATATACACTTTTTCTTATAAAATACCTTACATGTACGTAACTTCAAACTTCAAAACTTTACATTAAAAGCAATTGAATATTACCTTGATGAGCCCTCCGTTATATATTCATTATTAATGTCGCAATAATTTGTTCAGTGAACATTAAATTGTCCTACTATTTAGGGGTTTCGCCTACGTCATTTCTGGAGGGACTGACTTATATCGTCCTGGTGGGGACAGTCAAGGGGAGAGGGGTTTCCTTCTATTGTTTCGCATTAGTGGATTATTTTATCTAATATATGATTTCCATATTGCTTCTAAATTAATTATTGTATTATATGCGAATATTGTTAACTACATTTGCGTGAAAAGTATTTATATTGTCCACATCTGTATGGTTGTTAACGGAATTCTCTGGATAAATTTATGTGTATCGAAAATAGTATGACATAGAACGTTAGACTAGTTAATAATTTACAATAAGAAATTCTTTTTGTAAATGTTAAATGTTAACTAATAACGATATTACAGTTTTCCAGATTTGAAAACGGCTCTTTGTATGGTCGAAACGTCGTAATTAATAGCTTATCAATAAAATGTTGGTGAATATTGGCCTAATTTGTGTAAAGAAATATTTTATTTTTTTTAATATTCTTTTATTTTATTTCGGTTTCTTATAATATTCCAGTTTAGTTTTTTCTATAAGGCACCATTACACCGTCGAGCCATTTTCAAGTCTATCGTGTACTTTCCCATAACATTTCTTATGTAAAATACATACGTCTTCTGCTAATATTCGCTTAGTAACAATGAAATTGACAACATGTGAGCTGACACATAATATGATATGACGAGTTTGATACTGGCTATCAAAAGAAGTATATATTTTACATAAGAAATGTAATGGAAGAAAAGAAAAGTAGACGAAAGACTTGAAAATGGCTCGACGAACCTAAACGTCGTATTAGGATTCGGAAGAGAAAACATTGGTATAAATCCATAAGTGCTTGTTTGTTTTAGGTGAAATATTTATAATACTATAAAATAAGTCTGTATTTTATTATTTCTTTACCATATTTATTTCAGTCTACATCAGCTACGTTTTGGCTAGAAAGCCATTTTCAAGCCATGATTAAATAAAATGGCTTTCTAGCCGAAACGTAGCTGATGTAGACTGAAATAAATATGGCGAAGAAATGATAAAACACGGCCGTATTTTTTAACATTGGTGTAATGTTGCCATTTATAAAAAATTAAAAACTGATTTTTTTTTTTATGTAACATATTATTAACATTCTAGGAACAGTATTTTTTTTTATAGACGGAGATATATATGGACCTGAGGTTGCTGCATGTGAGATAGGAATAGCCATTGATAATCGATATTATCGATATTTTCCTTTTGATATTCGATATTTTACTATCGATATAATTATATTACTTCAATATTCTTGTCTATTGAGATCGTCTTTTCGATATTTTAATTTAATGATTAAAATTAAATCTATCTTTTTTCG